CAAGTGGGTGGCGGCCTTCATATAATTATGCAAATAAAGGGTTCTGTCTAACTTTTATCATAGCAATTAGCATTACGCAGAGAAATTATATTTCTCCTTTCTGGAAATACTGAAATCACTTGCCAAGATTTATGTAGAGCCTGCCCAGGTTACCCTGCTTCTTTTTCTGAGTGCGCACAAAAGCTCTCCACGAAGATCAAGGGTTTGCTCCTCATTACTTTGGACTAAAGCAGAATATCTTATTACACTTGATTTCTGAGGAAATGCATGGTAAGAAATACTTCTCTTTAAATTATTCTAAAAGTCTGACTTGGAGCAACTTCATTACTTTAAGCTATAAAGTGTGATGTTGTGTCATCAGAGAAAATAAGTGCATGTATCTTTTATCAAAAAAGAAATAAACTCAAGCTATGAGTTCAATGTTCTTAAAATAGTAGCAAAGTAAATTTAATCTCAATATTGTTTTAATAGTATCTAACATCATAATAATTATCCTGTCCATTTCCAGAGGAAAACAATGATTTGTAATCCCCATACTGCACAATCCCACATATAGCTTATATGTAAATGAATTTTCCACATCAAACATACTGCAATTCACATGTGAGACTAGTTAAATATACATGGAAAAATGAAAAATGCATTTACAGCTACTGAATAATCAAAATAGTAAATGACTTTAATGCATACCTTTTAATTATATTTTCTAACACTATGTTAAAAAAGCTAACATGACTTAAAATTGCATTAAAAAGGCACACGCCTTCTGTAATGTCTAATGTTACTAAACTAAAATACATCCGCCCAGTATACAACTATACAATGAAAGCAACACATATTGGTAAAATATGTACTATTTCTCTATATACCTGTACACTCGAGTGTACACTGACTTGAATATTGGCCAAGGCACCTAATTTTACCACAAAAACTGCATTAAAAATGTGCTGAAAAACTCAGCTTAAACACAAGTATATTCGGTACTTAAGTTACCTTTCTACATAATAAATATGCTCCCCTAATTAAAAAAAAAAGCTACCTTTCCTACTGATTTTAGTCATTTTCTTTTTCTCTAGATGAAGAGCATCACCAAGAAAACGGGAACTTCTGTCATAACTGTAGCAGAAGTTACAAAGCTCGGGGGAGAAAGAAAAAGAATCTATGCTGTCCATGATATCCATAATTGGGACAATCCTTCACCTGTGATTTATGAGTATGTATTTGTACCACTCTTTTATAAGCACATTTTCTGAAGATAATGTCATGCATTTCAATCTGGGTAAATGCCTTGCTCTAAGAATAACAAAAAGGACTAATGAGTGTCTAGTGTAAGTAATCAAATTATAACAAGAATAGTCAAATTTCACTCTTACAGAGAAAGTATCAATGAGAAAGCAGTGAAAATGGACAATAGGCTTACTGCCTCAAAACACTAGATTTGCTAGTACAAATAAGCCGCCAAACAACGTGACCTATATTTGAAAAGGACTGCATGTTAGACATACTGATAATCAAACTGCATGTAGATTTGTTTTCTTTAGGCCCCTGACAATAATCAAGCCTGTCCCTTGGGACCTTTGGGGTGAATTTGAACTAACTAACCTTTTGGTTAACAGCTCAGGGCTTAACCATTTGTGACACCCAAGGATTCTCATTATCTGTAAATAATATTTACATATTTCTAGAAAATATTTTTTTCCCATTTAAATCTAAATAAACAATTTCCCCCAAGTTCTGACTTTCACAGATTTTACTGTATATGACATCCCTTACCTAATAAAACCAGAGAAATATCTTATAGTGGCCTCAATAAGAAAACTCTCTTATTGCCAGCTTCCTGTAATATATGTTAATCCCTTTATTTTATCTATGGAAAATACTCATGTATCTATTTTGAAAAAAATAAAGTTTAATAATTAGGCTTTCTACTCTCATAAAAATTTAGAGTCTTGGAAAGCCACAGAGGCAGTTCAACTGTACTATGAAGTCACTATGAGACACAATCGAACTGAACTGACAGCAGGTAAGTTTTTTCTGAGTTTATTATTGATGAACAGATAAAACTTGGAGGACTTAATAAATCTCTCTGGGTTTCAATGTAATGTGATGTTTCTTGCTAATTTGGAAATGGATAGAGATTGAGTATAACTCTGTTCTCCATTTCTGCTCTGAAACAATATTCATCTCCACACACCACTAAAAAGGCAGAGATGCTAGTAACACTTAAAAAAAAAAAGAAGCCTGTGAAAGACTCAAAAAAAAAAAAAGGAGGATTCTAGCAAATCTTAATAAAATAATGGCTAGTAATGTAATTTGTTCTGTGGTTTGTTTGTTTCTAGATAGAAACATAACACTATCAAAAACGGAGGTGAGATGGATGAGAGGCTCTTGAAAAATAACATTCTGTAAGCTTTCAAATTCATTTAATTGTACCAAATCCCTCAAACAATAAGCAGGACCACCATCTAGTGGCTACTGGACTAACTGCAGGCTTACTCAGTAGTAGGAAAGCTATGGTAATCAGACACATAAGACAGTTTTACCTTTGTTGTGAATGTGTGATGACAAATAACAATAAAGACAACACGGAATAGGTGTGGCTTTTTAAGATTTAAAGTGACTAAATTAATTGCAACACCATTTTAAAGCATTGTAAAAATCACTTATGTGGACTCATTAGTCTGAAGTTGGATTGCCAGGGCAGTTCTACTCTGTCACATGGAATTGCTATCCGTGAAAATCAATGACAGCACCCAGCACACTATTTTACTAGTCTGTTTTAAGATTGTTGAGGCAGCATAAGCCTTCCTATAGATCATTGCAATTCTGAGGAATCAGAGATAGTCTTGCAAACACTAAAAGGTGATTGGCTTATTATTTTCTATTTCATCACCCTTAAAGAATATGGAAGAGCATCATCATTTAAAATGTGTAAAAATAAGAAACAAGAGCAGATAAACATGATATTCTAGTAATTTCCTAGGAATAATCCAAAGACACAAGGAAGAGATAAAAACTATAAAATATTTCATCAATACGAGGAAGTAAAACAAAGTGTTATCATGAAGATGAAAGGAAAGTACAACGGGAATATATTTAAAATAAAAAGTAAGTAAACTAGAAATTATTAAAGTTTCCATTTTAGTAATCTTTAGTTATTTTTAAGCCAGACTCCATCTCAACGTTAAGCACTTCCCGTGTATTATTACTGCTAACTATTGTTTGAGAGCTCCTTGGCACATTCTAACTCTTAAACGCGAAATACATTCCATCCAATGTACATACCGTAATTTAACCCTCTGACACCTTTCACGTATACTTAAAAGTTCAATATTTAATATGAATACTTTTATGTTCCTTATTACACATACCGAAAAGAGGGTGAAATGTAAAAAATGCTAACAGGAACAAAGTGATTGCCTTTGATTGTGGTATATTACATCCTCCTAAGGTCTCCTTAAAACATTTATCAACTGTACACTGGTACAGATAGGAAGTGGAAACAGGGAATCCAGGGCAGATGATCCCTTCAGGACCAGTGGTGTGAGTGGCGATACTGGGATGATAGATTGGAAAGGCTCTACAAGTGACCTCCTCCATGGGGAACAGACACCAGAAGAGTGGGTAAAGGGAGATGTCGGACAAGGCAAGATATGACAAAATAATAATTTATAAATTATCAAGGGTTCAAGAGAACAAATTGGCTAACCTTGATGAAATAGGCAAATCCCTAAAAAACACATAAGCTGCCTAAATTAAAAAAAAAATCATTTTATTGGGGGCTCGTACAACTCTTATCACAATACATACATACATGCATACATACACACGTACATACAATGTATGTCGAGCACATTTGTATTTATGTTGCCCTCATCATTCTCAAAACATTTGCTTTCCACAAGAGGCCCTGGTATCAGTTCCTCATTTCCCCCCTCCTTTCTCGTGTCCCCGCCATGAACCCCCCGACGTTTCTCTTCACCCACTTTTCTGCTGTAAGCTGCTTAGATTGATTCAAGTAGAAACAGAGTATCTCAACAAACCCACAAGTGACGAAACTAAATAAAAAATTCTCCCCCAAATTCATGCAATAGGTGGTTTCAATGGAAATTCTATCAAACATTTTAAGAAGAATTATCTTCTTAAACTCTTCAAAAAATAGAAGAGGGATAAATATTACCCTAAACCGACTATGACACTGGCATCACCATAATATGAAATCCACACAAAGACATTACAAGGAAAACAACAAGCCAGATACCATATAAATACATATGTAAAAACAGTCAAGAAAATGCCTGCAAATTGAAAACAACAAAATTTTACAACACAACTGAATGGATTTTCCTAAGGTATGCAATCAACAAAAGAAAACAAATTAAAGAAATGTACTATTTTATCAGGAGAAAGAATTACATGATAGTCTCATTTGATGTAGAAAACACATTTATCAATATCCAACATGCTTTCATGGTAAAAATACTCAATGAAAGTAGGAGAAATGGAAAATTACTGTCTAAGGGGTAATGAGTTCCTGTTGAAGACGATGAAAAACATCTTAAAATAGATAATGGTGTTGGTTGTACAACATAATGAAAATAACTAATATAAATGAATTATTCACTTAAACATAGCTAAAATGGAAATGTATTGTTACAAGTCTTTTTACTACAATTCAAACAAAATATCTATTTTCATGCTGTCTGTAGTTTGCCTTAGCATTTTTGGTTACATGTTATTAATAGACATAAATGTACTTTCACAAGTACAAAGGAATAATGGAAACTTTTATTGTGTATTCTAGTATAAGTCATGTCATGCTAACAAATTATGTTACCAAAAAACTTTGAAAGTTTTAGAAATAAATTTCTACAGCTTACAACTACACATACTAGGGAAGAAATCAAATATTCTGATTCAATTTTACTTTGTAAACTGACAATGTAACAGAAATACTCATTTAAAAGTTATTTCAAAGCAGTAATTCCAGTATGACTTACCTGAATCATTTCGTAGATAGGAGGACATGGCTGGGATGAGGCAGGACTGACTGAGAAGTTCTAGAAGCACAGAAGGAAGGGCATTATTGTTCTGTCCTCTACTCTCAGGAGATGACTGAGCTTCTCCATTTACTGCGCCACTCACAGGATTTATATAGCTTGCAAGAACCTAGAAAAAGTTTAATTAAAACAACATTTTAGCTTTAAATTAAAAGCATGAATTATGTTAGGTAATCTGAATATTAAGAGCATATATTCTGACCTCAACCAACCAATCACTCATGCTTTATGTTTTAAAAAATGTTATTTTAAATTCAAAATTTCAAGAACAAAAAGATGTACTTTCCATGTACAACATAATCACCTTGGCTACAAGCAGTTTGTTCTTTTGGCCTAGGTTAAGAGCCCTGAACACAAAAGCTTACCTGGGGTTATGATATAATTTATCATGGGTATGTGGTGAGGCCTATAAAGACCTTGAAGATGAGGCTCATCTACATTCTGGACTGCAAAGAGTAAACATTTGCACAGAATGGAGGTGTATTTTCTTTGGGAAACAGAACTCTACACTGTGGCTGTCCAGGCCTCACCTATGTGTCTCTCTATTTGTATCTTTTGTTGTACTGAAGTTGTTTTCACAGCTTTGGCATCTCCTGTAAGTTATTCTAATGAACTATGGAACCGAAAAGAGCCTGGTGGGTCAGCCAACCTGAAGTGAAGGAAGCCAGGTTTGTGGTGAGGTACCTTGAAAGTGTAAAGAAAACCCCAAAAGGAAAGGTCAATGGGTCTGAAATGGAGGTACGCTATGGCCTTGAGAGCTTGCGGTTGGTGCCAAATGACCTAGCACTGGGTGGTGGCGGTTGAGTGACAGAAGAGCTAAGTGGAGCGACTGGCATTTTAACTGAACAGAAGCTGAGATTTCCTTCTGATGCAGCTGGAGTGCGGAGAGGAATTTGTTACACTTTCTGGTGACTTTTTTTGCACAAGTAGTACAGTGTGTAGGGGCCGACAGCATGACAGTGTTTTTTACAACAAAAATGGTACCGTGTTTATGAATGAAAGCAATCAACCTAAGTTTACAAAACTTATTCCTAACCTGCACTATTTTACTGAATAGATCAGATTAAGTTTACAGTTTGAGGGTGATGAAATCTTAAAATTTCACACTAGGTGATATGCCATCTATTGTTCTAGAATTTCTAGAAATTCAGAAAATAAGGCTCAGACTTGAGCAACAACACTCAAATAAGTGATACAGAAAATAAAGCTAATCTTTGCTCCAAGCTTTCTCTGTCTCTCTCTCTTTTTTTTTTTTTTTTGGGTAGCATGAAAATTTTCTATACTAGTTTAGCATGTCTATTATATAATGGTGTAAATAACACACCAATTAAAAACAGGCAATAATAAAAGAGTTCAGATACTGCTCTGCAAGTTGAGACGATAACTAAAAATAAACTACAATTCCCAGTTTTGGGGGAAAATTTTATCCTTTTATTTTTTTCTAGGTAAAGAAACTGTTTACTCGGAAAACACACAAAAGCAAGGGGAAAAAAACTTTGTCTACTGTGTAATGAAAATGTATCAGAGGTAGAGAAGACAAGGAGACATAAAAATATCTGGGGATGAGTTGAAAAGGTCATCATTTTAAAAATTAGTTTAAATTAAAAAAAATAGTTTAACTATCTTTACTAATAACATCAACTTTGCAAACATACCTGCAAAAGACAGGTAACATGTTCTTCTTCCAGTCTTTGCTTTGTTAAGGCTTGTTCCACATCCCAGCCCGAAGCTGTAGAGCCTGTTCCAAAGCCAGTGCCTTTGGCCCAATAGAGCTGCTGCTCTTCGGTTGATGTGGGGTTATGAGAGCTTGACACCTGTGGCTTACAACAGCAGACACACACACACACACAAAAGTATGCATTGTTTTAAGAGCTGTAAGAGCCCCCAATAAAATGATTTATTAAAATATAAATAAATGATTTTAAAAGTTATAATGAATGAATTGAAACATTTTGGAATGTAACTGATGATCTACTCTGTACACACTCACCTAATTGACAATAAAATGTTTTAAATATTAAAAAATAAAATTAAAAAGTTATATACAGTCTCAGAAACCCACAGTAGCAGTTTTACACTGTTTTATGGGATGACTGTGAGTTGGAACTGACTCCATGACAGGTAATAAATAAATAAAATTACTTTACTTTTAAATACTAAACTTTTTTGCTTGTGTTTTATATAGTGATCCTGCTTAAGTCACTATCACATTAATTATGGCTTGGATTTTTTATGAATACAACCAAATCATAACTACGAATGAGAGATTTTCTTCTTGTTTTTATTTTCTTGCCCTATTATACAAGCTAGAACCTCTTTTTCAAGAATATAATTCTCCAAAGTTCAAGATAAGAAGGATTACAGTGTAAAAATCAATATATACTGGTAATAGGAATGTTTATTAGGCTATGAAATCTTTTCTAAGCTCATGGGTTAATTTATGGCTTCCTGAAGGATATAAAATAATTAAAAGTTTTTCTTTTTAATACCTGTTGTTTTAGGGGCAAGAAAGGACAAGTCTCTGAGATATTAATTACTTCAGAAAAAAATTGTATTCTATACTCCTTGAATTAACTTTAGTTTTACATAAGATTAAACTTACCTCTGTTTGATTGAGGTTAGAGTTTGGAACCCGTGGGGCATGATGGCTCAGAGCAGACAGACAGACAAGAATGAGGTGTAGTGCTCCAATTTCCAGTGCCATCCTCCTTAACAGCACACCGTCATCGGTCGTCAAAGGTGTGGTGCCAAACAAGCTACGCAGGACATGGAACGGAAGGGTTGGGAGCACGCTGGCTGACGGAGACTGCAGAATGTGACCTAGTTGACAGAGAACGGGAGGCAAAGTAAGTCTCTTCAAACGGGGTCACAAACAATGATTATGTCATAGAAATCTATTTCAGGAAATCTGTTATAAAAGCACCCAATAACACAAATAAGACTAGAATAACATAAAATAACAAAGCTTTGTAAGACAGACACCCGCCAATAAACCCAACCCACAACCACAGAGCTGCTTTTTACCCAGAGTGAGTCTGTAAGACAGACATGATTGTGCCCCAGTTTCTGAGGGGTACACTTTCCCAGAAGCAGCCGGCCTCATCTCTCTCTGTGGGGCGGCTGGTGGGTTAAACACACCAACCTTCTGATTAGCAGCATAGCACTTCACCCACTGTGCCACCAGGGCTCCTTACAAATTCCCACAGAAAAGTGGAAGCATGTTCTCAAGACTCTTAATTTTCTACTACATTCTGCTCACGAAGACATATTAAGTGCAAAAACAAAGTAACAAATAAAAACACTATTACATCAGGAATTGATCAAACTATGACAGACTACAGTATCACAATTATGTTGCTAAAGTAAATTTTCACTGTACACGCATTGAAATAGTGTGAAATGGTATAATCAATTCTTTCTCCATTTCTGCTAAGTGTTCTTACCCTTCTCTTTACTTACAATAAAAATCAGATAAAATAATTAGAAATTCCTAATTTACTGTAAAAACCATATACAATTTATATTGGAAACCAAGCAAATAACAAGGTTTAATTTGGAAGTGATGTAATTTAATAGCAGTTATTATAAAATCTGCTTAAGATAATATCAACATTCTGAAAAAAATCACATCAATTAAATAAAAGAAAAAAAGTAGTTTGAACAGTTGAGAGATTCAGGTCTACAAATAAAGTCATGTCATTTTATTAATTATTTTTAGTGGTGCAAGGTTTAATTGTTTATTCTTTTAAAATGACATTTTAGAGACATTACTCCTAATTATAATACTAAGATATTTAAAATAAGAGAAAATACTAGTTTTCAAATCAAATGGTTATTGAGTTACAATTAAAAAATAAAAAAACTTGGCCAAGTTGCTAGCATATCATGTAATTTCCCCCTCTCTTTCCTATTAAATAAAATGCCAATCAAACAGAACAATCACTATAGCGTTCTATCACTATCCTACATTATTACTGCAGCACTATGCTACAGATTACTTTGTTAGTATTCTTTGCAGCCTGCTGTCCTTTAATTTAGTGTTGGTATCACATTTGCTTTCTTAAAAAAGGTTACTCAATACATCACTGTCTCAGTTTTAATAAATCCTCATGGCTATTAGACCTGCGTATAAGATTAGCTTTACAATGAGTGTTAGCTACTTCATTTCATCAGATAATTTACCCTCTCTGCTTCTGTTTCCAGAGTTCCCTTTTAAAACATTTCCTCATTCTGAAATTGCTCAGTCCCACCCAAATCAAATCTACCTTTTGGGCCTCATTTAAATATTATCCTGCTTTGTTTACAGTGAGTAGTAAGGAAACATTGTGAGCCTCTGTAGCGTGCATTCCGCTCACAGCTCTATAACGTGGTGAGTTTCTATGTTGATATATGTTCCTTTGATTAGTGGATGGCATCAGCTACTTGAGAGTAGAATCTACATATGTCCTTTTTCTTTAAATCCCTCCAATCAGGTCTTAGGTGTTTTTTTTAAAGCAGTTAGTGAATATTTGTTGAATGAACAACGAATGAAAATGAAGAGTCCTTAGGATTCAGTATAGTTATACTGAAAATGAGTAAATAAAAAATCTAGTACCATATATAGCCGAGGCACCTACTTTTACCACAAAAAATGCATTAAATGTGCTGAAAAGCTCAGCTTCTACGCAAGTATGACATTAACTATGAAAAAAAATGATGGTGAGTAGTAGCCAATGATCTGGATAATTATATAGAACATAAATGTAATTAACATGGTTCTTTTTATACATTGGCTATATATACACTGGCAATGGATGTTCTTACACATGAAACTAATTCTTCCAATAAATGCTACTTATCTGACACTACAATAGATCAGAGAAGTGAAGTTTTTACACAAGACAGCATAATGATCAGAACGAAACCAAATACTTACTTCCTTCTCCGTCATCTGTCACTCCCAACACCAATCGAAGGAGGCACTGGGCATGTTTTCGCTCTTTCAGTAGCACTTCAGCATAACCCGGAAGGCGTAGAAATAACCCAAAGGCAGCCAAAGAATGGGCAGGTATGGGAGACATGGTCTGAACGGCTGACTTAATAGGTGGAGGTTCAGATGCAATGGTTTCCGGTGCTTCATAAACCAGTTCCCCAGACTGTTCAATGGTCACCCACTCAAACTGATCACTATCTTTTGGTTTTTCCTGAGTGGTAGATGTTACAACTGGAGCACTCACCTAAAGAAAAGAAAAAAACACACAATTTTCTGTGACAATTTCCAAGTATCAACATCAAGTTCAAAACTAAAAATTACACGTCAAATGGTCTCTTCAATATACAGGAACATAAGGAATAGTGCTGCCGCTCCTCACCATTAGGGCTATTGTTCAAGGCAGTAGTTTTGGTTTCAAAGTGACTTATCAAAAACAAACAAATAAAAAATAAACAAAAACCCTTAACATTAGGTAAAGCCTGACATCATGACTAAAGTGTGTCTTTCTTATTATTTTGCCCTTGGCAATTAAGTATGTGCAATCTTGTGAGATTAGGCAAATCTTTCTTTTTTCACCAAACATTAGCACATTAATTCAGCATTTATTGATTACTGCCTGAAACAATTATTGTTGTGATGCTTGCTAAATGGTGACTTCCTATTTCCATCTCCTACACTAGATGGCATAAGAGTATAAGGAAGAACATTTTCCTCCACATGCATTTATTAAGTTACATCAGCATGGGTTCTAACTTTATTCTATAGTTAATTATAAACTATTATCATTATTTATTTTGATGTCCAAATTCAATTAAATTTAGTCAGTGGATAGCCAGTTGGCTCTCATGTCCTTTTTACATGCCCCAACAATTCTTTGAGCATTGTTACTTCAAGAAGTTTTAGGCTCACTCGCACGTGCTCTGCTGTAACTTTTGAAGCTATCCAAGGGGCGCTGATTTCTTTTAGCGGAGAATGGCAGTTAACGATGAAACTATAGGCAGGCAAGTGGTGGTGGGTGAGTAGGCGGGGAAGTTGCATACACACTGTTGAAAGGTGTATGCTTTCAAATCCTATCAGCAAGCGGTATGTATGGATGTTGCCCAGATAAACAAAATTTCTGGTCTGTATTCTTAAAAACACTGAGGTCATGAAAATAGTAAACTGTTCCACATTTAAGAAGACTTAAGAAACAATGCAAAATCTGAAAGCTATAAAATAAAATCGACAGTGGCTTTGAAAAAGCCCTATATTTTATGTTTCTTGATTGAATGACTTTGGGATTACTTGTAAAAATAATAATTTTCTTCTAACGTATTTTTTAATATCATACAGGTTCAGGTTTAAATTACCATGGAAAGAATTGCACAAGGGCTTATGTTCATGAATCCGAAAACTTAAATTGATTTAAGTAAAAACTTAAATTGATTCAGTGAATCCTTAACAAAATCACAGGTGACTTAAGAGAAATTAAAAAGTGATCCTATGGAGAGCAAATGTTTTGAGAATGATGAGGGCAATGAATGTACAAATGTGCTTTACACAATTGATATATTTGTGGATTGTGATAAAAGTTCTATGAACCCCTAATAAAATGAATTTTTTTAAAAGAAGAAAAAGAAAAGAATAGCAATAGCTAAAAAAAAAAGTGCTCCTAAAATTCATAAGGAAATTCAAGGGACCCAAAACAGCCTAAACAATCTCAACAGTCACTAAATTGGAGGGCTCACACTTCCAATTTCCAAACTTACTAAAGCAATACAATAATCAACATAGTGTGAGAGGCCTCCAAAACTTCATGGAAAAATTCTGTTAACCTTTTAAAAAGTCCATTCTTCCATGAACTTTTTTGAACAGTCTCAGATATATCAATGGAATACAACTGAGATTCTAGAAATAAACTCTCATTTATAATTTATTTCATAAGGACATCAACACTAAAATTAGATATGTTCAAATAAAAAGAATAGGAATCTCTTGCTTTATACAATATGCAAAAATTTAAAAGGATCAAATATTTAAGCACTGGAGATAAAATTATGAAACATTTTGAATAAGATACAAGTATAAATTATACAAGACCTTCAGTTGAGTGATGGTTTCTAAAGACATGGCATAAAATGAGTAACCAGAAGAAAAAAATAGACTTCATTAAAACAAAAAACTTGGGCATTTCAAGTGCCGTTAATATAGAAAGTGAAAAACATGAGCATCAGAATGGGACAAAATGTTTACAAATTATATGCCTGATAGGTTTTACACCTCAGAATGTATAAAGGACTTCCACCAGCAAGATAATTGGACAGTCCGTCTTAGTAGGGCCTCACAGAACGAAGGATAAATCTAGGGTGCAATGTGGCACTGATGAGCCACATAACTATCCTCTAGTTATTTAAGATTTCCTCCCCTTACTATTGTGGTGCATATGTGATATACCTAATTGGTCATGTTAGACTTGTGTATGTTCATTTGCACATTTAAGATGGCTCGGTACATGAACCCTCAGATTAAGGGTTCCTGGAGGGTATGGGAAGCCGGAAAGGGAAAAGAGAGGAGTTGGTAGCATTGATGATTGTATAGCCCCACCTGATGAGATTGAACAGCAGAACTGTAAGGGAAGGGAAGGGATATATTGGAGTAAGATGTCAATAAAAATATTTTTCAGAAAAACAAAGCAAAAACCTATGGGGACATAGGCATGCTTGTCTATCTAGCCTTATAAGTGGTTTATGGGAAAATTCCACGATCTTTCAATTCCATTTTTCCATGAACTTTTTTGCAGACCCCTCACATATACAAGGATAGCCCCTGTAGTGTTCGATAAAGTGAAAATAGAAAACAACCTGGTATACAGGAGTAGGGACTGGTTAAATATGGCACACCCATTCAATTGAACAGCACCTACCTGCTAAAAAGCATGAGAAACCCTCTAGAATAATGTATGAGGGGCTCCAAATACATCAAGAGGGGAAAAAACACCCAAAAAAGTGTCCATTCAGATCTAAAGCACCATTTGTACAAGAAAATGTACTGAAAGTTTCAATAATGTGGAAATTAAAAAAAAACATATAAAGGACTATTACAACTCAAAATACACACACATATTAAGAAATGAGCAAAATCTTTGCACAGACATTTCATCAAAGAACATACAGAAATGGCCAGTAAGCACATGAAAAGATGTTCAACGTCATTTGTAATTAGGAAATTACTAAAGTCACAAATAGATATCAAATCACACCTACTAGAGTGGCTGTAATAAAAATTATGGATAATAACAAGTATTGGGGAAAATTAAGAGAAACTGGAATCACTGTACATTGTTGGTGAGAATGACAAAGGCTATAGACAAATCCACTACTGAATTAATTCCGACCACTGTCACTCTATTTAGGGTTTCTGAGGGTGTAAATCCTTAAGAACGGACAGCATCACCTTTCTTCCAATAGCAGCTAATGGGTTTGAACCGTTGGATCCTGGGGCTAGCAGTCCAATGCTTACCAACAGCAGTTTCTCAAAAAGTTAAACACATGACTCTTAGGTATGTATCCACCAAGAGAAATGAAAACAGATAACCACATAAAAAAACATGTACATAAGTTGTCACAACACCAGTCATATAAACCATCGAAAAATTCAACAACCCAATGGACCATCAACTGATCAATTAGATAAATAAAATGTGGTGCGCCTATGCAATGATGCATGGATAAACCTTGAAAATATCACATTAATTGAAAAATTACCAAGACAATAGGTACCAAGTTTCTTTACAGAGCGATAAATACACTAGAAGTTATCGAATTACCCATTGAATATATGTGTATATATATGTGTGTGTGTGCATATATATATATAAATAAAACAAAAAAACTGGAATTCCCCCCCCATAGCTATGTATTTATTTATTTGTTTGTTTGTTTTAACAGAACCACCTTATCACCTTCAAAGTACTCTCCATTACACTTAATACATTTGTCAAATCTGTGATTCCATTCTTGGAAACATTTTTGAATCTCATCTGTTTGGTTGGTTGACAACACTTCCTTTGTTTTTTTCTTCACCTCTTCTACGGAATCAAATCACTGTCCTTTCATGTCCCTCTTGATTCACGGAAACAAAAAGAAGTCACAAGGAGCGAAGTCAGGTGAGTCAGGTGCGTAGGGCAAGAGAGGCATGCTGTCTTTATGCCAAAACTGGCACACTGAGATGGCTGTGTTGGGCAAATGCAATGTCGTGGTGGCCAAACCAGTACCTCGTCTGCCACAAATAAGGCATTTTTTTGTCACACACTGTTACACCATCTTTTCAGAACCTTTAAATCAAAAGCTTTATTAACAGTCTGACCTGGTGGAATGGACTCCAAATGTACTACAAGTCAACATTTTCGTCCATTAGGGAAGTTGATGGATGTCCAGAAAGAGTTTTGTCATCAAGCGACATTTCACCTTTTTTGAAACCAGAAAACCACTCATACACTTGAGTTTTCCCCATAGCACTGTCCTTGTAAGTCGTGTTCAACACCACAACAGTTCCCATGGCATAATTCCGAGAGCAGGAAACAAAATTTCACAACTGCACGCTGTTCTCTTAAATTGTCCACCACAAAAAATGAAGTTCGATTAAAACTGCTTTCATGAAAAAATTCACTTCGACCACAGAGAACTTTCCCAGGAGACACCACTGGGTGAACTAACTCAGAGTGCTTGCTGGCTGCTCACCTGGGGGGCAGAATGGATGCATACTACAAAGTTCCACCAAGCAGAGTTTTGGGGGGTGAGGTGGGGACCCCTTCATGTGTGCCTTGTGTAATTTAAATTTTTGTTGTGAAGTAGGCAAAGGCTTAGGAGATCCTAAGTTTTACATTCAATAGTTCATTCACATTTTCTTTCAACTCATCTAACGCAATCCTCTCATTGTACCATCACTTATTCCACTTATTCCACTTTCTCGTGTTTCCTATTTCTATTCCTCCTCCTTTCTAACCCTCTAACCTTTGTCTTTGTGGAAATGTCACCCTTTAGATCATAAATAATTGATTATTCTAAATGGGAGTAGGTACAGTTCCAGACATGAACGGTGACTAAGGGCCACAATCTCAGGAGTCCCACCTGTCTGCCCAGGCAGCCTGGTCTCATGCATGATTCTCAGTTAATTTCCCATCCTGATTCCCCTACTCATTACTCCCACTCCCTTATTCAAGAACAAGATTTCTTAAATCTCTTAAGTATCAATTCAATATTAAAAGCACCCTTGTGGGGCTCCCCTCTGATTTTCTTATAGTGTATGAATTAAAAAAGAATTGAAGTGCTGATACATCATGCTAAACGAAAAGACGAGAGTTAGAAAGGTCACATATTGTACTTTATTTACCTGAATCACCCAGAATCTTTAGCAACAGAAAATAAATGGGTAGTCATTAGGGCTTGGAGGGTTTAAGGAATTGCACAGGGTACCTTTCTGAGGTGATATTTGAAATTGACTGTGGTGATGGCTACTCAACTCCAAATATACTGAAAACCACTGAATAGAGTACTTAAGGAAGAGTGAACGGAATGATGTGTGAACTGAATGCTATGTAAATTATATCTCAAAACAGAAATACAAAAAATAATTCACCCTCACGAGAGAAACAAAATACCAAGGGCTCAAATAGAAAGTAAATGTTTAGAAAATGATGATGGCAACATGTGTACAGATATGATGGATAAAACTGATAAATAGAATGTTATGAGAGCCCCCAAGAAAATGATTTAAACAAACAACAACAGTAAGATTCTATTAGAGAGAACTTAGCTTTGGTAGGTCAGAAACCATTGTAATTGTATAACATTTTCTTTACTCACCAAGAATAAAATCTCACTCCCTTGGGGTCAATATTTTAGACAATACATGGAAGCTGTAAACATTTTGAAGAAAAATAGAATTGAAAGACACTGGAATTTAAAAAAAAACATTTTAAAGCTCTCTTGCATTGGTTCCTTGAGAACACTTGGTCTAAATGAAAGAAGGTACTATATTGAATTTCAGCATTAAAGACCTATAGTGCCTTTTTAGGAGCCTTGGTGGTGCTGTGGGATACATGCCAGGTTAGGGTTTAATGCCTCTAGCGGTTCTGGAGGAGAAAGATGGGGCTATCTGCACTGATAAAGACATACAGTCTTGGAAACACTGTAATAGGGGCACTATGAGCCTGAATGGACTCTTGGTTTTCAGTGTGATTTTATTAATGGGCTTAGAGCTTAGCAGTGGTGGTTTTCCAACTTCAAGAAAGGCTTCCCAAGGGTCTAAAGGAAACATGGCACAATAGAAAACGCTAGACCTAGAATGTGAAGAAAGAAAAGTAATAATACGCAATAGCTACCACTTAAAAAGTTAAGTGACCCTAGAAATCTTAATGAATACACAAGTCTCTGGTCTTTGGATGAAGCAAACAGTTAAATGATTGACTATTATTCAACAGGGTAGCAGCAGTTTGAACCCATCCACAGGCATCTCTAAAGACAGGCCTCGAACTCTGCTTCCAAAGTGTCCCAACCTTGAACAGTCCTACACTGCATTATACGGGCTCAGCTGAAGCTAGAAACGACTTAACTGTCCTAAACTAACAATGTCCACTAACAATGATAAAATAGTAGTAAAAAATTTAGGAATATATAGGACGTCAGGTGGGCAATTTAATCAAATATCAAAACCGAAAAGTTGTATTATATGAAGGATTTATGCAATAATTACCGTATATACTCGAGTATTAGCTGAGTTTTCCACACATTTTATATGCAGTTTTTGTGGTAAAACTAAGTGCTTTGGTGGATATTCAGGTTGGCTTATACTTGAATACATGTTTTTCTTCCAATACTTAACAGGTAATGTTTTATCTGAATTAGGTAGATTACTACCTTTACTTTGTTTTTCATGTACTTCCAGATTAGTAATATTGGATTAAAGAAACTCAAAAAGCAATGATAATCTTAGAAATATTATGGCCTTTTCTGTTTAAAACTTTTGACTAATTATTCTATAAATTAAATTAAAATGATACTTGAATCATTATCTTTCTATGTGAATTTTCAAGGTTATCATCACCTTAAAATCAGAATGTCTTAAGATACCTGAATAGTAGGTACGCAATAAACATTTTCTGAATAGGCATTTATATGCTAATGACATGAAATTACTAAGACTAAATCCTCTACCTCATTCAACAAACCTAAAGTGCTTAATATCTGAAACTCTTCAAGAACCACATTGGTTTTTTTTTT